ATATATATTAATTTGGGATACGTATTCCAATATTCACTGTCAATACTGAAAATATGTATAGTTCGTGTTACATATATTATACACTTTTAATACTTACAGTAAATATCAGAACACAATCTTAATGATAAAAAAACAACATAAAAATAGGTTATTATTTTAATTTAACTTTTGCGATGTTTAAATGCAGAATAAGAGAATGCAAAAAGACTCCTATTAACTTAGAAAGATAGAACTTATCATAATTGAAAGTAAAATTCTTATTTCAATTTATATTTTGATTCTGATAATCTAATTTTTGTCTTCTATTCTAGATTGAAAAAAATATTGCTTCTTTATATCAGAAAAAATATATAGATCGATACGATTATGTTAAAAATTATCGAAACATATCGATGAGATACAATTTACAGGCTGAGTTCCATAAGAGTTATTCTACATATAGCATATGCAGTAAAAGATATAGACAGTAAGCTAATTAATCAATTGGATTTTTATAATGCTAGAATAATTGGCATATTTAATCAATTAGTTTACTGTTTATCGCATATACTTTTCGCTATTGTAAAGTGGTCTTGAGACGCATTTTTTACACAGATATATAGTACTGGCTACATCTTTTCCTTTAGAATGGAAAGAGATAGTAGATGTATCGTATGTTCTATTCTTTAATTTCCGAAATTATACGATAAAGAATATAAGATATTACTCTCTCGCTCTATCAACTCGAACCTCAATTTTAGTCAGAGGGCATATCCAGTACTACAAGATCTTTTTACAGTATACGTTATAATACGTATACGTTATAAATAAATGTTTATATGCATTTTATGGAACCCAACTACAATCGAATTAATGATAAATATAGATACTTTTGCATATAACAAATTTTTAATCTTAATTATAAATCCATGAGAAACTAAATCTATTTACAATTGATATTCTCCTATTTCGAAGAATTAATTGCGATTCATTTTCTCATAATTATAATTTAAAATTTATTACGTACGAAGGCTTTAATATGAATATAACCTAAAAGATGCTCACCAACTCGCTGTGAAGTCTACAACGACGAGTTTTTGACCGGCGTTTGCTAATTCGCCATTGAAATGGCGATCGTCATTAATTACACGTACCGCTCCCATTATTTTTATTAATTATTTGATTACATTAAATGTTTACTAGATCAACCGTTCCACCTCTTGCACGGAATTGACACTCGTCAGTACAAGAATGACTGGCAGTTAATAAGGAGCCAGTGTGGCCGATACGTTGATAAAATAAATCTTTAAATCAAAATTGAAAAAATCTCTAGAAATCTCCAGTTATTCAGCAGAAATCTCAAAAATCTACAGTTTTTTATCAGAAAATTAAGAAATTGCCTATATAGTAATTAAACTGGCGAAAAATTTAATGGCTTTTGAATTAAAAACTGCGTTCCGATATTCATTGTCAATACCAAGAATCTAACTTATATCACGTATGTACAGTGATGGATAGAATAGCTGTAAAATTTTAACTTGTAATGAGTTTCAGAATAATTAAATATCCCATAAGAGAATTGATTTTATGGAGATAACTAGGAGATAACTAGGAGAAATTCTTTAATTAGATATTTGTTGTATTCCAAAACCCATAAAAAAATAAAAATGTTGCGACTATTTCGTCCATAATTGTATGTACGGGAGCGTCCCGTTTTGACCACGCTGAAGATTTTCCATTGGATCAACGAATGAAAAAAAACTTTATTTTAAATTGTTCGCAATGGTAGTGTCCGATTGCCCACGTTGTCGATTGGCCAATTTAAAATAAAATTATTTAATTGGTTGATCCAATGGAAAATCTTTAAGCATCGATCGCTGTAAGTGGCTGTCCAATTGCAACTGGTCAAACGGGACGCTCTCTTCGCACATCATCGAAAGAGTTATAGTGCTTTTTGCATTGATAATGTTTGATTGGTTAAACGAATTGACTACTGCGCCTCCTTGAATTTAGTTCATTTGATCTTCTTAGATCATGATTATGTCTATGCGATTTGTTCTTTGCGTGTGAATAATTTCGCCGTCGATTTGTACCTCGTGTCAACTAATTTTATAGATTTTTCAAAATGGCGCAAAATAAATTTAGCGAAATGGCCTCGCGTTTTGGAAAGGGCACGAATGGTATACCAGTAGGGTTGAAAATTCTTGCTGCCACAGGTGTTGCGGCATACAGCATTTCTAAGTCCATGTATACAGGTTAACTTTAATTCACGCTTATATTTTTCCTGAACGTTGTGATAATCATTGTTCTCTCTCTAGACGTTACCTCCTTTGAATAACTAATGTTAAATAAATTAGCAGATGATGTTTTTAAATAAATTAGAGTTTACTAAATGGCTCATATTATCTTCACAATAGCTTCAGGCATGCCTCTTCATTGTTATTACAATATTTTTGACTATGTAATTTACCATGTATTTCTCTAAAGGTTACAGCACATAGAAAAACGTAAGTAATAAGATTTAAGAAAATTGATCAATTATATTCTTACAATCAAGGAATAATCATCATTTTTTTTACTTTTTATGTCAAGTTTTTTTGTGTAATGACTCTAAGGTGTCTTCTATAGAGAAGTAAGTTTTATGCCATAAGAAATTGACCAATCGATTGACTGACCGATTGATTTATAGGAGAATAATTGTAATAATTGTATTTAATTAATTTTTTATGCCTTCTCTATTCTAGATGAGATCTGTACTTTAAACATATATGTATAATGTATAATATATAGTTGCATAATTTTTTTATGTAATAGATTTTTAACTTATATTTTAATATATCTACATAGCTATTTTTTATATATGTAATTATTTTTTCTTTATAATGTTGATATCTTTAAATTTTCTTTTAATAAAAAAAAATAACATCTGCTCTTTTATATATGGATTTTAAAACAACGAAGAATAATTTACTTAGATTAAAGAAGATTAAATTTATAAATTTCAGTGGAGGCTGGTCATAGAGCAATCATATTCTCTCGTCTAGGAGGTATTCAGAGGGATATCATGACTGAAGGTTTACATTTTCGCATTCCATGGTTTCAGTATCCAATAATTTATGATATTAGAAGCAGACCTAGGAAAATATCTTCACCCACTGGATCTAAAGACTTGCAAATGGTCAATATCTCACTACGTGTTCTCTCACGCCCTGATGCTAGCACACTACCTGCTATGTATCGACAACTTGGCCTTGATTATGATGAAAAGGTTTATAGAACAATTATAAATAAGAATTTTGATATCTTTAAAATGAAATATTTCAGAATATTAATATTTAGATTTTAGATAATTTTACAAATTTTTCTATGCTATTTAATTTTGTATATTTTTATCTTCAAACTTTCTAATATATAATAAAAGCTTATTAAAATTGATATACAGATAAATCAGAATTGAGTGTCGAAGAATAAAATTTTGATAAGTTTCAATTTGTGGAAAGTTTTATATACAATTTTAAACTTAAAACTATATTAAAATCAATAAACAAAAATTAATAATTTAGGTACTCCCGAGTATTTGCAATGAAGTTTTGAAATCTGTTGTTGCTAAATTCAATGCCTCGCAGTTAATCACACAAAGACAACAAGTATCTAATATGGTACGTAAGGAATTGACAGAACGTGCTCGAGACTTCAATATCGTTCTAGATGATGTATCGATAACAGAACTTAGTTTTGGTAAAGAATATACTGCTGCAGTCGAGGCTAAACAGGTAGCTCAGCAAGAAACGCAACGAGCTGCATTTGTTGTGGAAAGAGCTAAGCAGGAACGACAACAAAAAATTGTACAAGCTGAAGGAGAGGCAGAAGCAGCCAAAATGATATCCTTTAAAGGAACAATTTTTCTTAATGTATAATGTAGCAGTTATATCTCTTATGATAAAAACAGATGAAATAATTACCATCATGAAAATATTGAAAGATATAACTAAAGTTGAATAAATTTTAATTGTAACAAATTTTTTTAATTATCACAATTAATTGTTGAATAATTAAAATTAATAATTAAATTATTGATTTGAATATACAATTATTTGTAGAATATATACAATGATACAATGATTTGCAAATAATTTAATTGACATATAATATTAAATTTATATTATTAAATATAATATTGATAATATGTAATGATAATAATTCTTTATGAAATATGATTACCTTAACTGCAGTGTACCTTGGTTTAGCTGTGAGCCAGAATCCTGGATATTTGAAGTTGCGTAAAATACGAGCTGCACAAAATATTTCACGTACGGTAAGCATTTTTATACGTGTATATATGTATGGTGTGTGTATATATACACACACACACACTATATATAAAATACATGTACGTACGCATGTATATGTGTGTATATATAAAATGTATATAAAATTGTTTTTCAATTTATTCCAGATTGCTAACTCCCAAAACAGAGTATTTCTCAGTGGCAATAGTTTGATGTTAAATATTCAAGATCCTACCTTTGATGAGGGTTCGGATAAGCTGAAAAGTAAGAAGTAAAAGTCGTCAAAGTGTTGCGTCATTTTTTTTATCTTTATCTTGAATTGAGTTTATATTAAGCTTAAAGATTAATCGGCTCGATGTATAATTATGTTAAAGTATTCTGAATAAGATGCATCATGTATTTACGTAACGAACGTATATACTTCCTCATATTACATTTGTCCTTACTGACCTTATTTTTGCAAATATCTTTGTTTTACATAAATATACACGCGCACATACATCATACATACATTAGTTCTAATACAATATCTCTCTATGAAACAAAATGAATTATATTTTGGTCAAAAAGGTAATGAATGGTTTTTTTTTTATTGATACAAGCTTAATAATTATATGAAATATTAAATTATTAAAATTACATTAAATAAAAAATAGTAATTACTAATTTTCGATTATTAAGCTAATTTGTTGGACAGAACAAGACATTGTACAAAGAATGTATTTTTTACATCTTTTTTGTATAAAAATTTTCAAAATTTTCCTATAGACATAAGAAAGATTTTTAAATGAAATGAAATAGTAAGTATGTATGAAATGTAGTTTAAGTGCACAAGAAATGATTAAAATATAGAAAATATATAGGTTCAATTTTCTACAACTCATAATATTCCTAGAAAATTATTTAATTCGTAACTCGTAAATTTTGAGTTTATTGGGTATAGGTTACACATAGACGTCCAATACTGGCTTTTTCAGATCACTTGGGTGTGAACTGGAAGAGCTGGGATGAGGCAGCTGATTGCGCTGTCCAGAACCTGAATGTTAATTTCTATCGAGCATTACCAAATGCCGAGAGATCTGGCTTGAAGACATCAATACTTTCTGTCATCCCATCCCTCCTGGAAACGGTTAATGATACTGTTAAATTAATAATACCGTTACGATAAGAGAAATCTTGCAATGCAAGCTTAATCTTAGGTGCTTGTTTTTATTATGCAATATGATTCTAATTATTCTGAATAAAAAAATATTCGGGTACAAAAATCATTAGTTTGTAGGACATTTTAGATTTTATTTTTGCATATTTCGATATAAAATATGAAAAATATTTCAGAAATTATTCATTTTTTGATAATCGTACTTTAATACTTTTATGCATAAAATAATAAGACAAATCAATTAATGTAAAGAAAATACATAATTGTAAAAAAAACAATGTGCAAATACATTTTTTCTTGATACAACTATATATTTTCTTTATATTAATAGATTTGTCTCACTATTCTATAAAAGTATTAAGACAGGGGTATAAGGTTTGATTAAAGAAATTAATAATTTATTAGATATGTTACATGTTGAAATATACACGAATAAAACATAAGATAACTCTAAAATTAATTATTAACTTTTTGACTGTATCTTGTACTTCTTTATCTAGAATAATTAGAAAAATCGCGTAACAAAATAGCATAACTAGAAAAATAGCGTAACAAAATATATAATTCCATATAAAAAAATGACAATTATAAAAAATTTTGACAGTGGTGCCATCTCAGACTAAACCAATATAGTAATCATATGACTCTTACGAAACTATTTCTTTAAAAATGCATTGTTTAAGAGATATGTAAGGCCATTTAAAATAGGATACCGCGCGCATGCGTGCGTGCATACGGATGTATGCGCACGCACATATTTGTATATTGTATATTGTATATTGTATATTGTATATTGTATATTTAATATAATTATTAAATATAAAAATGTATATTTACGATATGTGTGTATATTTTATTAAAAATTGTGTGTGTGTGTGTGTGTGTGTGTGTGTGTGTGTGTGTGTGTC